ACAGAGATCACCTCCACACCCGCAACAACCACAACCACAATGCAGACCACCACTGCAGCCACCTCTTCCTCTACGTCTACTGCCACAGTCACAACATCACAAACTGCGTCATCACCAAGCTCCACTTCAGCAACCACAGATGCCAGCACCACGAATTTGGTGACATCTATTGCAACCTCCAGACCAACTTCTACAATCACTCCTACCACCACGAATGCCACGCCATATGCCACTACAAGACATACGTCCACACACCAAGGGACTTCAACACCCACTCCTACACGCACCGTCCCTTCCTCTACAAGAACCACTGCCACGACCAGCAGCAGCTCAACAGCCTCCATGCCTGCTATCACATCCTCTTCACTCAGCACAACTTCAGAAACAGTCAGCACAGAAAACACATCGACCATGTTGACTCCCTCTCTCACTACAACTGTGCTCACCTCTGAAACACTCACTCCACCTACAACTGGCACCACAACCTCTGCTCCTACCAGTAACGTTCAGGTCAGTACTTCCAGTATAAGTATGCCTCCAACCACTACCACTCCAACACCATCCACCACTTCTTCCACCACACACATGGCTTCCACTCTATTAACCTCCGAAACAGGCACTACCAGGACCAGTGAAATAAGCAAAGCCACGAAAACGACCATCAATCCTATTCGTACAAGCACGACGGTCTTCAATACAGTGGACACGGATTCCACAGTGCGCACATCTACAGTGACAAAGTCACCCTTTCCTATTACCTCCCGTACTACTCTTGTGACATCAACCACTATTCCCACAACCTCACTTACTACAATACTGACATCTGAAACACTTACCAGTGTCACCTCTCCTTCAACTGCTAATTCTATTAAAGTTAGCACAATGGACATTACCTCAACTGCAAGTGTTATCAGTACTTCTGCCACTACTACTTCCATTTCTTCTAGTAGTGTTTTCACCAGTCCCAAACAGTCAAGTACCGAAGGTAGAAGTTCTGGTGCACCTACTGTTCCCAATATTTCTTCCTTAGTAACTGTAAGTACTACTGTAACATCATCTGCTATAAGTACTTCTACGGAAACTACTACTTTCATTACAATTTATTCCACAACGCCATGCCCAGAAACTGTACCAGTTACTATAATTTCTTCATCTACCACTGATCCATGTATTGATTTTAATCCCGATACTGATGTGACTTCTACTGCAACCATGTCTTCATCAACATTTTTATCTACTTCTCATATCGTTACCTCTTCTTCTTCTACCAGTAGTGGGGTTTTGACCAGCACCAACTCTGTAACCACCCCACATAGTTCTGGTTTCACTACATCCCTCCCTGCTCAGTACAAATTCAAGTAGTAGTCCTCCAAGTGACACCATGACTTCAAGCCAATCTACACATAGCACCTCATCTACTGTGAAGACTCCTGAGACATCAGTGGTCACCAGTCAGACTCCTACCAGTCGTTCTTCTCCTACAACAACTTTCACCACTACTCAGATGACGACACAGTCAACAGTCACCACCACACCAGGTTTGTCCTCTTTTCGTCTGGCTCCTTTCCCCCTTGTTAAGTCTCTTTGCCACAAATGTCAACCCTGTCCCTCCCTGAACCTGGATTTTTTTTCCTGTCTTTTACAGTTATTTGTATCAATGGGGGGAAACTGGAAGATGGTCGATGTGTCTGCCTATCGGGTTTCTCTGGTGACCACTGTGAGCTTGAGAACAAGTGCCTAAATGGTGGCAAGTGGGATGGTGTCAAGTGCATTTGCCCCAGCACCTTCTATGGCTCCCTGTGCGAGTT